GCATGGAAGAATATAATCAAAGGGATCACATAGAAGTGGACTCACGCTGAGACAGTTTTACGCATAATTAAACCCATCCTCCGATTTTATTTGAAAGTTTATTCTTCCACTTTATCCGTTACTTTACTAGACCTGAATAGCAAACAGATTAGTCCGTCTTGCTGAGTTCTCTCATCCTTGGTCACTCCCAAAAGACGTTATTTTCTGGGAGAGAATTAAGTGCTGTCAAAATCTTCAACCAACAATTTATAATCAAAACCATTCCTCTGCGGAAGGCTATCCGCATCCTCAAATTTCGTGAATTTCACGGTACTAGAAAACAAATTCTGTAGTACCCACGTGCTCGCAAAGGCTTTTGGAAGCTAGAGAATTCCGTGCAACTCATAGGACTGTCCGTGTTTAGCGGACTTTGGTGAAGCACACACGCACGGTGTTATTGGATCTGACTTGTAGAGACTGAAGTTAATGTGTAAGAAATGAGCACCATTCTAAGGCACCACCTAGGCGAGATAAAGCTTTGCTATTTATCCGAATCAAGTGGCCTAAGAAGCAACTTCCTGACTAATAGCTTGCATCCACCCAGATTTGTGACAACCACCGATTAGACATCTGTGACAATAACATTTATATACCGGTATGACGACTGTGGCAAAATTTCTCCCACTATAGTATTGGGACTTCAGGTTAGCCAGCTTCACTCAAGGAGGCTAGATAAAGAACAGATGATAAAGTTTCACATACTTTGAATGTTTTCGGAGAAGAATTACAATATCGGGAGTTCCATTGTCTGTTTCCATTGCACGAAGGCTTGTAATACACCCAATATCCCGATCTTACCTAGCCTACACTTTGAGAAGATATTCCAAATGTTTGCCTTTGCTAGGGGTGTCATGTTTACGATGATTTCTTCGTTCGACTTTGCCCATAAAATCTGGTCCAAGTTACCGCCCATCCATATATGCAGGTGATGCAAGGACCAGCTTGGATAAATTAACATCTTTAAACATCCATTCGTTTGAGCTATATGTAGTTCTTTACTTTGTCCTGTTTTGTCAGCTTTGAGTATTTTTCCCTTGCCTGAGCGCGTCAGTTTTCGTAGATTTGAAAACCTACCTTTTTTACTTGTAGCATGCTTTCGGTGACCAGCTGTCGTCGTACTCGAAGAAATCACTAAGACCTAGGTGCTAAGATTAATCCGCGGACCCTTTTAGAATCAATCGAAAAAAAACATGTTTTCCGGGTTAAGGGACCGCAATGACGATAGCACATCTTGTAAGAGTTTCTCATCTTATGGGTAGCGTTTCGCATGTGTAGCACAAATTATAATCGAATACCCAAGAAAAATGATTCTCCAGTTGACAGTTTGAAGTAAGGCACAAAGTGAAGTTCATACAAATTGATGTCTTTGTAACTTCCGTACATGACAAAGGCTGAGGGTCTCACGAGGATATTCACCTTTCCAGCTACAGCGAGTACATTTGTGACACTTCTGAGTCTTAATACACACACACACCTACGACCAGTTAAACTGCCTATTCATCCAATGTTAACGAATAATATTTGGTAAAGGTCAGTTTCGTGCAATACGCAGTTGATGACTCCCAATAAAAATGAAACAAGCGTACAGTGCTTCTCGACTTTTCAGAATAGTGACTTATCTGATAATATGATATCTCAATTGCAAATTGTCAAACCTCTTTAAATTACCGTCAATCGATACGACGCTCAGAGAAAGAGAGAGTAATTTCGCAAGCTGAGTGAGATGTTCGTCACCGAGAAGCCAGTCAACATGTGACCATGTGATGTAGTTTCAGTAACTGAAGGATGAAATGTGATTTGTAAGCTTTAATTGAGAGCTAATTGCACTGCTGATCAGCCTATCGAGACCGAAGATTTGAGCGTTCAAACTCTAGCCGAAAAAACGCGGGTTCGAAACTCTGATTTTTTGAGGTGTCCACTCCTGATGATTATCAATACGAATAAAACAACTGGAGAGTGATTCTCGCCTCTTCAGCATAAAATGGGCCCACGAATGCTCAGCTTAATATATGGCAGATGATCCAATCCAAACAGTTAAAAGCCTAAAATGAGTCTTGGATTTCGGCAGTGGCTACTGCTTATGTACGATAGATCTGAGAGGACATATTGACTTCCTCACATTCAGCTGTCGGATTACTCCAGCTTCAACCACATCTTCACCCGTCTGTTCAATCGTCTGATCATATCCAGATCGGAACGTATTAACGTGTTATTAACAGCCCTGCCCTGCATTCCCAGTTGTATGGCGATTAGCCGACTTTTCGGTCCCCATACAATAGACACTGCATCGCTTTCGGTCCATACTTTGCCATGGAACTCTGCATACCTTTTGCCATTGTNTTTGGTAAAGGTCAGTTTCGTGCAATACGCAGTTGATGATTCCCAATAAAGATGAATAGGCGTACAATGCTTTTCGACTTTTCAGAATAGTTAGTTAACTGATAAAATGAAATATTAATTGCAAATTGCCAAATCTCTTCTAATTACCGTCAATCGATTCGGGCTCAGAGAGAGAATAATTTCTCAAGCTGCGTGAAACATCCATTTGAATGTTCGTCACCGAGAAGCCAGTCAACATGTGACCATGTGATGTAGTTTCAGTAACTGAAGGATGAAATGTGATTTGTAAGCTTTAATTGAGAGCTAATTGCACTGCTGATCAGCCTATCGAGACCGAAGATTTGAGCGTTCAAACTCTAGCCGAAAAAACGCGGGTTCGAAACTCTGATTTTTTGAGGTGTCCACTCCTGATGATTATCAATACGAATAAAACAACTGGAGAGTGATTCTCGCCTCTTCAGCATAAAATGGGCCCACGAATGCTCAGCTTAATATATGGCAGATGATCCAATCCAAACAGTTAAAAGCCTAAAATGAGTCTTGGATTTCGGCAGTGGCTACTGCTTATGTACGATAGATCTGAGAGGACATATTGACTTCCTCACATTCAGCTGTCGGATTACTCCAGCTTCAACCACATCTTCACCCGTCTGTTCAATCGTCTGATCATATCCAAATCGGAAGGTATTAACGTGTTATTAACAGCCCTGCCCTGCATTCGCAGTTGTGTGGCGATTAGCCGACTTTTCGTTCCCTATACAATAGACACTGTATCGCTTTCGGTCCATACTTTGCTATGGAACTCTGCATACCTTTTGCCATTGTTACTGGCTATCTATTAGTACGAATAGAGCTTTTGTTACGCTAGGGTTTACGGTTTTTCAGTACGTGCTATGCTGAAGCATCCCGTCAAACGCCGTGTGACAGCGTGGGCAGGTTGGCACTGATTGACACCTAGTCAACCGACGTGAGAATACTGCTCAGCCAAATGCAACTGCACACTGATGGACACCTTTGTCAACCTGCTTGGATATGAGCTTCGTAATTGAATTTTCCAGGGTGAGATACGTGCGATTTGTATATCGGAAACATTTGAATGAAGACAGATTGTTCCACGTGTGTAAGTAGCAAGATAAACGTGATTATAGAGGCTTCAGAGCTTTTGCTTGCGGGCACGCCATAAGCTGTGAACATTCGTGATGACAGATGTGCAAAATCAAGCAGTCATTCAGCAGCAATATTCTTCCGGTATCAAAATACCATCCGAATGGCTGAAAATTGCTAAGATACTGTTTTGTTGCTAAAGTCTAGGGAGGATGATTGCGGATGCATAATTTGGGTTTGAACCATAGCCCTTTTTGCCAATGTGGTCGCTCCTTAAATAGTGAGGTCATGGTAGATAATGAAACATGGCAGCTTATGCTCAGTAATGCTCTCCAAGTACCACCGTGATTACAGATATGTGAAAGTTGGTATTCCACCTTTCTTTTACCACAAAGTATACAACAACAGTGTCTTGGGGGACAGTGTGTTCCGTCACCCCGACAAACAAACTAGAACGTTTTCGTTCTGTTGGAAATCATCTATTGAGCCTACTAGAAAAAGGCGTGGTTTGAATGGTGCTTTGAACAGTCTCTTTGTACAGGCGCAATACACTACTGAAGATTCCACAACATATTGCGATATCTCCAATATCGTACCAACTAAAACATGGGGTAACCTGTTACTGCGCATCCAGATGCTTAAGAACATCGTAAACGAGAGATTCAGCTGGGTTCCAGGTGAGTATCTTGTCAAAACCAAGTTGATATACAAATGAGTGTATGCGTCGCGATCTATCCTCTACTGTATGTAACGGCTCTGAGGGAGCAACACATGGTGCGTCAGGTAACAAATTTCTGTTGTTTGCTACAACTTAAAATCACATCGCGCCGCCCATGTGCAGAACTTTCCACATCTCACAAAACAAACTAACTGCACTCAGTTGCACAGTAATTTGATTTTAATTGTGGCTCAACTGAATCCAGTTGAATCTCCCCCGTTTACAACTGAAAAAAGGACTTTCTGTGCAACACGTGCAACTGAAGAGGACAATCAGCTGCATTCCACTGAACCTCTAATCAAAGCCAAAGTAGTACGCAAATGGGAATATTTTACATGTTTGCAGTTATTCACCTTTCTATTGATTGGGTTTCCTACTAACCTTTCAGACTGACCTGTATTTGATGGTTCTCTTATCTGGATTATGGGAATTAACTTCATTCGCAGCGGTACAATAAGTGGCTTCATATCCCTCCCTGCCGTTAGGATTCGTTTCATGCTGTATAGTTTGTGGTGTTTACCCGGAACACCTGTATATGTCACTCATTCACGTAGGTGTATTGGTTTTGTATCCATTTCTAGATTCGAATGCCTAACAAAACCTACACGCATGCATCTATAATTTTCGCTGTTGCTAGTCCCTTTTTATAAAATGCTCTTTCCGAGGCTTCGCCGAATGTTTCCATAAAAACCAGTGAGATTCAAAATAATTGTTTTATGAAAAGCCAGTACGGATGTTAACCAAGAAAGTCCAAGTTGAAAGCCCTAATAAGGCGATGGTGTTCACACCTACTTATCAACTAGATCCATTCCCCATCGTCCGTCTCTTCCAGATACGCTTCCTCGTCTTTGGATTTCCAAACGAAATGATCACAACTTCTTGACTGCCTGTCCTCATTTGCATCTGTGCCGATCCGTCCAATGATACCATCGTCGGTCCTGATCGTATTCAGCAGAGTATCAAAATTCTTAGGGTTGCTATCGATATTATTGGAGGATAGGGTTACTGAATTTGAGTGGTTTGTATGCGTAGAACAATTGACTGAACGTGGTGAATTAGCCGGTGTTATCTGGGTCTCTTTCGAACGACCAGTCCTGAATCGAATCCAACATTGTCTGAAATGGTACCAGGTAGCCGAAAGACACGGCTTTGGTCGAACACATGATTGGATTAAAATATCCAGGTTCATACACACAAATGAGGCTAAAAAGAAGCAAGAGGCACACCAATTTAAGTAGTAGTTGTAGGCGAATCTCTTAGGTATCCGCTCCAAGGCTTCCAGTTGGGTCCATTCAATAACCCCATGCTCGACGAGATTCCGAATACAATTGCTGGCCGTGAACGGATACAGAATGAGTGACCCACCGGTAGCAATACCTGAAAAGATAACAAACAATACAATAGGATGTTTCAGATGAACTTGTTCTTTCGTTGTGCAGTGCGCTGTAAACAGGCGGCCGTTTCATACTACTCACGGACATCAACAATAGTTCATCAAAAGAGCTGAACTACACGATAGTTAGCAGAAAACTTACCAGACACAAGAAAGCATTCCCCGGCCGAATGATAATAGTACATTCGGATGATTAAGGCACTGCGGCAGGCCCCGGTCACAGCCAAACCGATTCCAAGAAAGCCAAAAAGACAGCCGCATCCGAGGAAACAAATGACGGATGTGTGCATCTCTATAAAAAAAGGAGACCAAAAAGCTTGGGGCTCACGGAAACATTGGCATCTCCAGAAAAAGACACAAGATGTGGAAGAGCAAGGTGGCGCAAAACGGTGTTTCTAACAAACTAATTGGAAAAAAGTTTAACTTCTGTTGTCTTCTCTGATGAGATTACAGACGCTTCAAAAATGTCCGTCTGAAGACACAGTCCTGGGGGGGGGGGCTGAAAAGCGAGGTATTTTGAAGGTTATTAAATCCAGATAAAAATTTCTTTTGTTCAAAGTTCTCTCGAACCAAGTGAATTTAAATTACCCTTAATTTGTTTACAGGTATTGATATAACTGTGTTTTCGCCCACCTGTGTGAATGAAAGCTTTCAGTTTTTACTCATTATATTAATCATACCAGTCAAAATAGAAAGAACCGAAAATGTGTACAAACGCTCACAAGCCTGTTCACAAGGTCCCAAGATCTAGTTGGCTCTTGCGCTCTCAGTTTGTATTTAATATATATTAAGACATCAGCATTCCTTTTGCAATTTTGAACAGGGAGTTCTAGGAAATGTTAGGTCCTTCTTTTGAAAATGTATATTGAATTCCTTAAATTAGGGTGTTTGGGCCGAACTGCAAATGCTACGGCAACAGGTTGTTCAACACTGACATATGTTTCCCGTTCACCGACATCGTAAACTAATTCCACCTTCCATCGTTGGGATGGATTAAAGGTTAACCGCTGATGGCATCATTGTAGCTGCACCAGTATCTCCTCAAGCTACCAGGCTGACGCGAACCCAGGCATAGATGAACGCTTGTATGTCAGATGTCTTCAGTAGAACAGTGCAGTGTTCAGGAATGATTTCCTCTTGTTTTCAGACGATACGGAACATGGAAAATAGTATTACTAGCTCAGGTTGGTCCACAATTACCTGCATTTATGCGTGTATTTTACTAACTGGTATCAGTTCTTACGGGATAATCCTCCCCTCATATCGCACGCTAACTGGTTATCTGGGGTCATTACCACAGCTATTGCAATGCCCTCTTCGGTAGAACTTGAAACACCGTGGACGATGACATCCCCCATCAAGCTTGAACTGAAGAAAATCACTTTGACAGATCCTCCTTTTCGGAGAGACCAACCATCGTAGAAAGTTACAGCAAGACCCCTTCCGAGCAGCATACGTATTCGTTAGTTGTTTAAAAAAAACTGTTTTTCATTGTGTAGGAGCTTTCTCCATTACCCGTGTTCTATCCAGAAGTGGGCTATTTCATCGTCAGCTCTGATGTGTAACTGTAAACGTACCGTGTTTTAGTCACATTTGTGTCAGGGCGCGCCCAGACAGAAGAAAAAGCACATGCGCAGAGAGTGACGCATCCCCAAGGCCATCATCGGTTCGACACGTCCGGAAAGTAGGTGAGTTGGCGGCATCCACGAAACACGGCTCTCATCAAACGGCTTAGCAACAGATGACCAGTGTTGTGGGCCTGAGAGTGTTCACGACCGGAACACCACCATTGGCGAACGAGTGAACGACCATATTTGGCCGTTTAGTCATCCTATATATTTACGCAGAAGCTCTGTATGTTTTGTCCTGGCAATACAGCCGTGTCCACAGTTCTCTGTCTTCTTCCTATCGCGTAGTCTGGCAGGTTCAGCGCAGGCGTAACCCAATAGCTCGGCCACCGCGCAATACAACAATTTGTGAGTGGAAAACTTCAACGCATTTTCTGTCTATATTTGCGTAGCAAAATGCTTCTCGTATACGAATGAAATTATTATGCCCTCAAGAGAGAGTACTCTCGATAAAAGTGCCTTTTCGGAGGGTGTGGAATTTGTGCATCCGCCAGGAGGAGTGCTATGTTCACGCAATGCCAACAGTATCAGCTCTTGTGTGGGAAAAAACGTTTAGCTGTAACACCCTTTTGGTACCTATTTGCCATGCTACTTGAAGTAAGCATGACTGCTGGGATAATCCCATGTTGCCCAAGTCTATACAGGAGAAGTCGAGATACCGAAGCCGGCCTCGAACCACGGAGCTTCCGTGGTTCCGTGCTCCAACCACCGAGCCATCTTTCCTTTGCTGTTGTACTGAGAGCCAAAAGAATAAAGACTCAACAAGTTTAGAAAGACAACGCCATGTCCTTTAAACGAGACAACCAAGGTCACAAGCGATCCACTCAGAACCCAGGAGACACTTGATGCAGTCTTCCCCAATTACATGAAAATGACACTGAGAATCATATATCTTTCCTGACAAAAAGACTTGAACTTCCTGTTGATAATCTAGTTTTGGTTGGAGATCCTCCACTTTGAGTTCTTTAAGTGCATAGAGAAGAACATATTTTGTTTTGTTCGCTTTCCCTTGCCGAAGGTTCCACGTCCGGAACTCGGGGCATTAGAATAAATTTCAAACTAGGCAATGGAACCAAATATGTTTTTTCTTTCGTTCGCCTGCTCGGATTTTCACATGTATGTCGGGGTTCAATAAAAAAAGTTCAGCTTATTTTTCTTGCAATAAAAGTTTTATAGAGTCAAACTCAATCTGTCTATTGAATTCTTCTCGATTCCCTCGGTTCCTCAAATCACTCTGGATCTACAGATCCCTGGAAATTTGTTTCAAACCGGCGCTAAAACTATCAAAAATATAGATAAACCATTGTTCAGGTGTAACACTTTTTCGGTGCCTAGCTGCCATACCCACTGTACGGAGTGCGACGACGGCTGAGATACTACAAAGTTGCAAAGCCTAGACAGGACGAGTCGAGAGGCTGACGTTGGGTTCAAACCATTGACCTCCCGGTCCATAAATTGGTGCCTTGACCGCTGAGCCATTGCGAGTGAAATCGCCATCAATGTGTCACTCATCTTGGTCCCTAATTTAATAACACCTAGTATATCCAGTACAGACCACCGGAGAACACGTCGGAGTCGAAAAACAAGGGAAAACAATATACAAGCTGTTGCCGAACGCAGATCAATATCGTGCGTTGCTAAAAGACTAAGGAATGGCGGAAAATGCAATAGACACAGCATCCTAAATATATTTAGAAGACGTTGCTGTCTTGAGGCGGGGACTACGATCCACAACACAAAGACTGATGACCTTGGAGGTGTAAAAACGCCAGAACGGAATGCGCAAAACTGTCAAGCGTGTGAAGAACGGTTTTACATCAGTCGAGAAGACATACGGTGCAGGCGGTTATCAGAAGGAGGAGTCATCAACAGTTGCATAGATCTCAAGCGCACTTACTCTCAATCACCATTCCTCCCAACCAAATTATCCTAGGGCTTACAAGCCCTCACAGGACAATAAAATCTGCCACCTGTACCCAAACTGGATAATCAATTGATGCATCTTAAGTGGGAAGATTAAGGAACCAATAAAAAATAACACGAAGTTCTCCCAACCCATCAACCGTAAGTATCAGGCAACCACAGGAACCGACAAGACCTTTTAATTGTCATTAAGCACTGATCTGAATAGGTCTCTCTGACTGGTTCTCCGTCTGCCGTAAAACCTGTCCAACTAGGTGACCTGCTCACTTGGCTTGATGGAGCATTTACGTCAAAGGCGAAACGTTGCCCAGTTAGAAAACTACTGACTGTTTACCATGCTTTTTTGAAACGGCAACTTCTCAATCGGTTTCAAACATTCTTCAACTGGTTGAAAATATCTCATGTGCTTTATGTGTAATATGGAAAATTTGGGATTCCTAAATTTTGAGTGGTTACCAAAATGTATTGCAAAATTTGTTGGAAGTCATTAATTTGTATAAAAATGAAAGCACTGAAGCAATGCGTGAAGATTAAGCAGAATGCTGCCGGCTTTCCCTATTTAGCATCGCTCTGAAACTATTGAAGTGAATTGAAGAGTTTTATTGAGTGGAAATTTGTTGCAAATAATTCTGAAAGTGTGTTAAACAAAGCTGCCTTTTGTCCCAAAAAGGAAATGGAACTTCAGTAGCATAAGAAATGCTTTGGAAATTTTGCTAAATTTGTGAACACTTATGAGATAACTTGGAAAGACGCATCTGTGTGCTAAAACGCCCAAACTCACTCCAGTCATCTTTCAAATGATATACCAACGGGATACAGCTGGAATTTGGGTAGCACATCGCCCACAACCCCATTTCGTATGGCTTCTTTACTAGAGTAAATGAGATGAAGTAGACGGTGAAGTATGCGGTGGAATAACATCAATAACAGAGAACACTTTTGTCCTTAGGTTTGCGCTACTGAAAAGACTTAAGTAAGAACGGATAAGTACGGTTCATTTCTGTAGACCTGAGTGGACGCTCGCCTCTATCTTGTGCATACAAAATTTTGAGTGATGCTCAAAAGCGGATTCCCAACATTCTAGTCACCATGCTCCTCGATCACACCGGGACCGCCAACTTGTAGCGACCTTCGCTTAGCTCATGTTGAATATAGACAATGTCATCTAGTGAGACTAAAAAACGCGGCGTTCTCGTTCTCTAAATAGACCAAATGGGATTGAAATGCAGGCGATAAATTTGGCAAAGGCACTGGTAAAAAAAACATCCGAAAACTCCAGATAATATCCAGTATCAACCGAACAAGCTGCTCACCCTACGCTTGGTCATGAATGGGAACACTGATCAGTGTGCCACATATCGAGTCCCTCCAGGCCTAACTGATGAGCCGCTATAGAGACATGTGGTTGAGTTTCGAAATCTAACCGCACTCTAGCAACTAGGTGTGGACCGGTAATGATCGGAGTTTCGCCTACATGGAGTATATCTACCTCGCCAATGACAGCACAGAATAAGTGTTCAAGGCTGATGTCATACTGCCTTATCGTGAAGAAAGGTGAGTGCGGAACGGTTTGAATACAAGCCTACCACAACTGTTTCGAAGCGCTCACATCTGCAGACACTCATCCAGATATTCTGAACGGTGAATAACAACAGGAAAACCAGTGACATTGATTGGTAGCCATATCTTTCAGCGTCTCCAACCACGAAGAGAGAGGATATCGTGGACTCCATTCTGGAGACCTGCCTCACCGACAATGCGGAGACTTTTTATAGTCTCTTTTCACACCCATCTACTAGTTCAAAGGATGATAACCTTTCGGCTAGCGTCACTATTAATCGGGCACGGAGAACGACACTCTCTCCAGAAAACGATGGTTCAACATGCGCAGCACTTGAACTAAACACCTCACCTTATGGTACTGGACACATTCTTCAATGGGGATCCAGACGCACAACCACGTACACGTCATCTAGTTGTCTGGTTGTGGACTGACCAACACCAGCGTACATCAGACATGGTTCTGAGAGAATGATGATCGAAGACCTGGAAGCATCTCAGTTCCGCTGCCTCAAGCGTTCACGTCTAAAAGCCATACAACAAAGCAGCCAGTACTGATACACACATTTACCGAGAATGAGGGAAACGCAGTCTTGCTGCCGTATGTGTCTCAAGTTGGCAATTGCGACGACGACCTTGACAAAATCGGATCTTTTACAACTTTCAGGGCTTTACAACTTCGAGTTAGTTTAAGTGGATTGTGACGTGTTGAGTGGCCGCACTTCCTGGAGCATAACCTCAAAATTGCGGGTACGAAGCGCACAGCAACGGGAAGGAGGGCTTGAGTGTGTCCGTCCAAAATCACCTATTCCTGCTCTTTGGAGAGGAGAACGATGTTATCTACTTATCCCATATTGTTAAGGATTCTGTCCGCAGAGTCCTGAGAAAGCCCAATCACGACTTCTGCGATTAGATCAACTATCGCGTACTACAAATACGATTTTAATATGCTTTTTACTGTTTTTCAGTGGAACGAAATCCCCATTGTATATGCGCTCGTTCGCCGGTGTTCGAATGAACCCGTGCTGAAGCAATTAACCAAACACAAATTATTTCGGTTTCTCGATCTCTGCATGGATATTAGCTGCAATTTCCCTCCATCATTGCTCGTGTGATGTCATAATGATTGGACACACTCACTATCACCAATCCATTTCCAGGCCGGACTTCCCATTCCGAAGACGGCTACTCCGACTCCAAAAATTGCCAGACAGAATCCCCAGCTACGAGTTCGTATAAACAAATCGTGTTCATGGTAGTCGGTCAACAATTGCCACTGTTGAGGAGTCAGATGTACTGATCGGTGCGCTTGCGTCCCCTGTGAAGGCTTCTTCTTTTCAAGATTGGTTTTCAGCTCTTCACTCTCTGCACGAGCTGCATCAGCATTGGCTACAGTGGCTTGTAACGCGATTTGAAACAGGCGCGAAGATGGCTGTTGCGAAGTTGTCGCAGAAGGTGGTACTCTAGCCGGTGTGCCAATCGAATCTCCCAGGCGTGGTGGATGAGAATATCTTTTCCCATGGCCATGCAAGTGATGGTCCATCTGAAACAGAATTGGTTGCGACAAAGTCTCTTACATATACATTGTTTGGATGAAAAGGAGCCATTTTTTCTGAAAGAGAAGAACAAGAATTCCGATTGGTAGGTACAGAGACGCTCGTCATGGTGCGGCGTTCTGATTAGCTGACACGATTCATGGGTGTAACTTTGTCCAAATAGGGTACTTTAGTATACAATAAAGCGTTTTCATTAGGGTGCTTAAATTCGCAAGAAAAAAGCTCTTGTCCCCTCAGATCGTTCTATCACTGTGTAACTGATTTTATTGCTTAGGATAAATTGAATACGCGCAGCTTCTTCTAAGAAAATGTACTGCGATATCTCGAATATCACAATGCAAACATAAGTTGGCACTTGTCCACTCAGTTGAAGAAAACCATAAACGGAAGATTCGGATGGATTACAGTCAATTCTCCAGCTAAAACCAGATTAGTGTGCAAACGAGTGCACGGATGAAAGGGAAACTCAAAGACCACGGCTATCTGATGAGCCCCAACAAAGAAATGGCAAAAGATTGGTCGTGAGCTATCGAAGAATTTTCACAAAACCCTGAAAGCAGCACTTTCCAAGTATATGTTACACCTCTTCAAAAGCATTTGATTCCTCGTTTATCAGATTTTATCAAACGCAATTATTCTTCAGTAGTGGGCGTCAATTTTGATTGTGCATCACCTGTAGTCACAATGGGATGCATTTAAGCCAATAAAAACGTGGAGATTAAGCTAAACCAAGTTGAATCTATCGCTTATCATGGTCTGTCTCAAATAAGTGTGCTGTACCAGGCCGCATCATGTTTCAGTTTGGTACGTTGTTCGAGGTATTGCGTAACATTGCTATCTAGACAAAATGCACTACGCCTCTGGCTGCTCAAAATTTTCCTAGAGGCCATCAGCTGGTGACTCAACTTAACTGAGCAAAGTTTACCATTTATGATGGTCCGCTGCAACTGAATGTGCTGCATAGGTTTGACAGAAACTCTAGGACTGTTGCGATTTAATGAGCCCGAATTGGAAGTTGAAGACCGGTCCTGGTCTGCCAGAGTTTTCTGCAATCTTAACTGTCGTGTGGTACGTGTAAACGATACATGCTTACAGAGTCTACCATTTGTGTTACTCCGTGACTATCATGCAACACATCGTAAGAAATACATCGATATCCAGAGAAGAAAAATTCACAAAAGCTGCATCTCTTATCTTTGGAAAGTTCATTTACCCGCTGTCTCGCGGGTGGAGAGGCTTGCTAAATTTCATCCAAAAGATCTCCAACAGCGTAGAGTTTGACACATGATGCATGACAACATACCTAGCACTAACGTGTTTACACCAAACATTCCAACTTTTTCATGTATGGGGCCGGAAAATCGTCACCTGTTTCAATCAACCTCATCCACAACCTCATCCAAACATCTCTCATGCACAACAAGAATCAAGAGGTGTTACCGCATGGATGACTGATCCGGCTTCTTCTACAGTGTTAGTTCGATTTTATTTTACTACTGGTTTGAGGACATTGGAGAATCCCAGAATGGGATATCTTGGTGCAGGTGAACACAAGCTGTACTGAAAATGAACTACTTCGTCTTTAATGAAAATCAGCAACAGTATGCATCTTAAAGGAGTCTCGACCCAAATACGTTCCAGCTAGTACACTCAAAGAAACAGGCAGCACGTGGCCACATGATGTGGAATCCATGATTTAAGGCGCGTGGCACTATATCCTACCTGATTGCGGAAGAATCACAATGCTGATCAGTTGGGCACCCGATTTTTCAAGTGTTGAGACTACTAGGCGTCTGGGTGGGGACTCCCTGACATGTCATCTAGTAAGCACTGCTTCTGATTCCCAATAGGAATAAAATAACTGTACGATACCACTCGAACTTTCAGCATAGACCAGCTTCCATTACGGGACCCAATCTCCAATAAAGCTCATCCTTATAAACACAGCTTTCCTGCTGCTTTTAACTAGCACTTCTGCTAAGCTCCTCCATCCACGGTTTTTTTTGTTTTACGAGTTTGCGCATTACTGGTTGCCAGGAAATCTAAACGCCTCTCGTCAATAGAGTTTCCCCGTTTCTCCAAAGTTCACTGTGAAAGCAAGTGTGTCTGAGAAGGCCCAAAAACAAAGCGCTTCATTCATTTACTATGATTTGAGAAGGAATTATTCACACTACTGGCGCTTCCTTGTAAGAACTAACGACTTCTGAATGACTACTGGAATATACAGCAAGGACTCACTGATGTGCTAATGGGCAATGGTCAGGAATGCTGGTTCGCATCAACCGTGGGCGTGCAGCTGGTGTCTTCTTAAGGATACATTACTCATGATCCTGCAAGTCTCACAGATACAGTTCCGCAGAAAATTTCACACGTACTTGAATGTTTACCTTGGGCGATTATGGCACCAGTTTTCATGAATCTAGACACTCTCAGATGGGCAAGTCGACTCCAGCAAAGGCTACCACACTAGACACGTCTGAAAGTCTACACATATGTAACATCGAACTTGAGGGCTTGCTGAGTTCTATGTTGCCGGCTTCCTTTCAGGCTTCTTGATTTTTACATTGTTGGTCACTGGCTCGACCATGTCCAATGACACTAGTGGAAATCGCAGTTCGTAGCCGTGTTTTCCTCAACTAGCTTGGAATAAATAATGTGCCCTTCGCATGGATGGAACTGAACTGTTCCTGAAAGATTCACCATGTGGAACGGAAGCACCCTTGTGATTCTGGGATATTCTCATTTCTTTTCCTACCTATACATCAAAGCAAATTTGCCGGTCTCAAGCCAGTGTAGTAGTGCGTGCTCTATTCATACTGCCCTGCAGCATACGACATAATATACGGAGAGATGAAAAGAGTGTAATTCAACAGACTTCATTTTAGCAAAGCCATGTGGAGTGCCTGCTGTCAGTAATGTTGGGACTTCAAGGTGTTCGAAGCGAGCAACGTTCTAGAGTCGTCCTGTACTGGGAGAAAGTACTTTCATGTGATACTACGGAACACTTGTCAACTTTTCGTATTTGGTCCAAACTGTGCGCAGGAGATGGTTCGAACCCTCAAGCCTAACCTCGATGAGTTCACCTACTATGGAAGCTGTGAAGGTGAATTTTCCGTTGGAATTAACAGTCCCAGTGCGCTACACGATAGTTCCATAATGTTTCTTCAATTAACCTCAACTTTAAAACTTAACAGTTCCGATCTGCTTGATGCCTTCTTTCGAGAAAAACAAACATTACTCACTAAAAGTTGGATGAAATTATTGTCTTCTACTTACTTTCTGGAAAGTCGAAATTGAGAAACTGATTTCAAAAATCCCGAAATAAACTATTTTCCCATATGGCGGACCACAAACATGGGGATCACCTTTGAAAGGCAAGTATTCTCATGTAGACTCCTAAAAATGCTTTCAGTAACAGACGATTCCGAGAGGTTTCATCCCTTTGAAGTAGACACTGTAGATCTGTTCTTTTGGGGGCCTATCCGGGGACGGAAAATTTCATTTTAGAATGAGTTATCTAACAATGGTAAAAGCAGCAGTTTGGCTCTAACACATTTTTGGTGCCTAGCTAGTACAACCCTCGAAAGTATCCTGAGTGCTGAGGCACTGCCAGACTATCCAAGCCTAGATAGGAGCAGCCGAAATTCCGAAGTTTGTTTCAAACCACAGACCCTTAAAGCCTAATCTCTGAGTCACCTAAGGCTCAGATTATCACCGCATTGTGGATATTCGAAAAAAAGAATGATATCCAGATTTTTTTCTGTTCTACTCAAAGAAGCATAATCGAGTCAACCGAATGGATGTAATGATGGTTCCGTCTTTGATAATCCACATTTGAAATACAGTCCTCCTCGGAAAAATGTTCACGAGTTGCTTGCTTATAAATATTCGGGGATTTCAAAATTTGGCTTCCAAAATCTGACAAATTCCAGGTAGAAATTACGTCCAAAAGGGTGTGAACACCTTACGGTAGCCGTATTGTTATAAGTAAGTTTCGTTGCCTCGAGTATGTTGATTAGACCATGTGATTGCTTCAATGGCAGATCTGCAATGACCACCGGAAAAGATTTTTTTACGAGTTCGGAAAAATACTTCTAGGGATGAGGATATCCCAAGGTTTAGTGTGATCGGGTTCATTATGGCACCATTTGAGGATGTAAGCAATATTGGGTCACACACAGGTTACCTGATACGTTTTCACACTGTGGGACATCTTTACCACCATATTCAGTTTAGCTGTGAGTGCAACTCACCAATGGAGCAATTATTCATGTGAGACTCACTGCTCAGCAGCTTGCAGTCATATTTTGAACTTGTAAAGCAAGTACAGACAGTGTACTCAACTGACGATCAAACATATCTTTTAGGATTTCATGGTTTCGGACGCACTATGCAAAACCTGATGTTCGCACATTTCAAGATCGTGTATGAATATATCCGACCGGAAGACACTTTATGGATTCATGAGGAGTTGTCCATAATCGGTTTCTTGCGTCCTTCAATAACCAGAACAAAGTTCCTGTGTAGCTTGCACAGGCTGGGTAGATTTGGACAGAGTTTGGGGGAACAAAAGTCGGGATGAATCCCTTGGAGATTAACTAGTCTCTCAATAAATCCACGTCACTCTTAAGACTAGCCGGCCCACTCGCTCAATCTACCGTTTCTTCAAATGTATGACTCCGTTTCAATCTCATGTATCAGATATTCCGGTTATGGGCTAATTAAGTTACAACAGTCCTGTAAAAATTTCGTCACCTCCTGGACATTCACTGCAGGAGGACCGACCAGACACACCTTGTCCAAGTGAGAGCTAATCACACCTCTGATCAAACCTCTGGCCAAACAGATGAAAGGTCGCGGGTTCGAAACAGTAAATTTCATGAGATGCGTACTGCTGATGAATCCGAACAAGGATGAAACAGTTTTTGGCTTTTCAGCCAGGATAGAAAATCTGTTGGAATCATATATGCCACGCAGATTATCCTCG